ACAACAAGGCCCCCACCAAGTGGTCCACCGCGATAGCAAGTTCGCAACAACAAGGCCCCCACCTAGTGGTCCACCGCGATAGCAAGTTCGAATTGCGGGACTCAGCGTCCGTTATAAAAAAGTGTTCTGTTTTGTGTTTGAGCAAAAATCAAATTAAGTCGTCGAAGTTTCGACAACCTCAATTATTGAATTTTGTATAGCTTCTTTGTTAGTATATAAAGTAAATAAAGATTTTCTAAATTTTTTCTGGGTTTTCTTACGGTTGTTAGTTCAACGTTTGATAACGCGGCACCTTTAAATTGTTTGACGTGATTCTTAAAGTATTGAGCAAAAGTGGTTGAGGCAGAAGGCCCGTAAACGGACCACATTACATAGATTTGTTTTCACATAAGGATCCCTCAGGTTGTGCGGTACACTGAGAGAAAATTCTTTTGATATAATACAAATAACCCGTGGAATTTTGCGAGCCATAAGTAAGTTTAATTGAATTAACAAAATAATCGAATATAGTTTTGTATATATTGACTCAAGTTCCAAACACATTAAATAAAAGGTTATCTATATAAATCTTTAGATGATCTTTTTATTATGTTTTTTTTTTAACTGATAGTACGTTGTTTTATCTATTTTTTGACATCGTTGTCGATAATTTGCGAAAACAGTAATGGTAGTTTGTTTTTAAATTTTTAATTTTAATTAAATTAATTGATAGTACGTTGTTTTATCAATTTTTTGACGTCGTTGTCGATAATTTGCGAAAATAGTAATTTACCCCGAGGTTCAGTGGTACAATTGACGTTTGGTTTTAAATTTTTCGTTTTAATTAAATTAATTTTCGAAAGATGGCCAATGTTAATGACTTTTCGCGGGCGTGTGATGCATTGTTGGAATTCGAAGCGGGCTTCAACAACATGCCGTGTAGCAGCTATGCCATTTTTTCGCTGGAGATCCAAAAGGAGGAACTGAGGCGATCTGGGTCAAGGTGAAGGATGCGTTCGATGACTACTCGAAAAAGGTGTTGGACAACGAAACCGGTCAGGCTGCACTTCGGCTGGCGAAGTGCAGATACCAGGATTGCTACTCAGCATACTTGACGTGCGGTGCATTGATGGGAGAGACGGCTCATAACCTGACATTCACGCAGCAAAGTAGTTCCACTTACCTCCATGTGACACAGAAATTTTTTACGGTGATTACATGTCTTGGCCATCTTTCCGCGATTTGTTTACGGCAATTTATATTAACAATTCGCGTTTGACCCCGGTAGAGAAATTGTACCACTTGAATCAAAAGACCCGTGGTGAGGCGAAAGATATCGTGAAAAAATCGCCTTTAACTAACGACGGTTTCGCGACTGCTTGGCAAAATTTATCCGACCGCTATGAAAATAAGAGGATAATGGTAAATAGCCAACTAAAGATGCTTTTTAACCTACCATCGGTAACGAGCGAACGCGGTACGGAAATTAAAAATTTACAACGGGCAGTTAATAATTGTATATCGGTTTTAGAAATGTACGGGATTGATATCGAGAACTGGGATGCGATCTTTGTGTTCTTAGTATCAAGCCGGTTACCTGATACCACGCTGGCGTTGTGGGAACAAGGCATTGTGAGAAAGGCGGAAATTCCAAGGTGGGAGGAATTAGACAGCTTTCTCACAAGTCGGCTCCAGACGTTAGAAACGGTGTCCGATATCCGAAGTGCACGAGCAATAAAGACTGTACCTAATCGCCAACCCACAACGACGTACGAAAGGAAGGTGCCGGCACACCACGGTCAGTTTTCGCAGCCCGCATGCAGATTATGCCCCGAACAATCTCATGCCCTAAAGGGCTGCCCCAAATTTCTGGCAATGAAAGTTGAGGATCGCCTCAACTTAGACAGAAAACACAACTTGTGTATGAACTGCCTAGCGCATTCACACATCGCGAAGGATTGCGAGAGTCCGTTTAATTGTTGGAGCTGTTATCAGAGGCATCATTCACTACTACATCGAACTTCCGCTCCGCAGAAGGCCAACTCTTCGCAACAGCGAAAACATCCCGAAGTTTACAGTGGATCAAGTGCATCTTGATTCACTGCCCCCTTTAAGGCTAGCCGATGTCAACTTCTACAGGAGTCAGCAAGTGGACTTAATTCTTGGAGCGGATGTCTACCCAGCGGTTATAAAGGGAAATGTGCAACGGAATGTTCTGGGATCACTTGTAGCGCAGGAAACGGAATTTGGATGGATTTTTACGGGACCAGTACCACCTACGACCACAAGGAGTTTCACTACTGCTGTGTCTTATGGCACAGAAACTCCAACCCCCCAGCTAACTCGGTTTTGGGAGTTAGAATAAGTTTCCACCAAAAGGAAAATTACCCCCGAAGATGCATTTTGTGAGGAGTTGTACTCGAAGACGACCACGAGGAATGATCAAGGACGGTATGTGGTGGCTCTACCTTTTCGTCGGGAATTCCCAGACGAAATTAACCTCGGCTTTTCAAGACTGGAGCAGCACGGCAATTCTTGCGCAGCGAGGCCGGTTATATCAGGAAACCAGAGTTGAAAACGGAATACGACCGGGTTCTGACGGAACATATCGAGCTCAACCATATGTGCCCCGTGAGGAAAACAGCGCAACAACCAGCCCACAGGCCGTATTACTTACCACATCACGCCGTCGTGAAACCAGACAGCATAACAACGAAGGTGCGAGTGGTGTTTAACGCGTCTTGTCCCACTTCAAATTGAGTCAGCTTAAATGACATACTATACCCCGGGCCTATTCTGCAAGCGGATTTGGTTTGCTTACTTTTAAAGTGGGGCTTATTCAAATACGTATTTAACGCAGACATCGAGAAGATGTATAGGCAAATTATGCTCCATCAGGAGCATACCCAATTTCAAAGAATTCTTTTCAGAGAATCCCCGGACGAAGAACTTAAGGATTACGAACTTAAGACCGTGACGTTTGGAGTAAACTGCGCTCCATATTTGGCAATGAGGACGCTACACCAGCTCGCAGATGATGTGAAAACGAGATTTCCACTGGCAGCAAAGATTTTGAAGCAGTATATGTATGTCGATGACGTCCGGGCTGGAGCCCACGATTGCACAACTGCAATACAAATGCGATATGAGGCGTGTCCATTAGAAACCGACCTGGAGCAAAAAGCGTACGGGCTCATGCGGCAGGCATTTCCAAGGAAACGGACATTCTGGAGCGGTTTTCAGACTTCTCGCGAGCCATGAGAGTAATTGCGCTAATTTTCCGATTTTTTATAAAAACTCATCCGGTGCATAAGTTGGCCGCTAGTGACGAGACAGACGAAATAACCGCCGATGTAGTAAAGCAGGTAAAATGTCGTCTCATCGTTAATGCACAGAGGCGTCACTACGCAGATGAATACAGGGCCATCAACGTCTCAACGCCAATCAACGCGAAAAGTTCACTTCGCGCTCTCAACCCCTTCCTCGACAGGAACGGAGTTATGAGGGTAGGAGGACGACTGGCGTTAACGAACTTACCTTACACTGAACGATATCCAATAACTCTCCCGTACGACTGCCAGTATTCAAGATTGCTCATATTGAGAATTTTGCGGTCCGAATACTGGATAGGGTGAATGAAAAACTTGATTAAAAATTCAATTCATATCTGTAAGGTTTGTGTTATTTACAGAAAGAAGGCGCGGGAGCATTTGATGGCAGCGTTACCACCGGAACGAACTGAGGTATCCAGACCCTCACCAACACTGGAGTCGACTTCACCGGTCCTTTTGAAATACGGAGTTTCACGGGTCGAGCTTGTCGCATTACCAAGGGCTATGTCTGCGTTTTCGTCTGTTTTGCGACAAAAGCAATACATTTGGAGGCCACCAGCGATTTGTCCACCGCCACATTTTTAGCAGCTTTTGCGCGTTTCGTGTCTAGACGCGGCTGCCCGCAAAATGTGTATTCGGACAATGGAACCAACATTGTAGGGGCAAATAAGGCATTGCAACAGGATTTTAATCTCTTTGTCTCTGCAGCGGCCAACATCACGACCCAGACATACGCTCATCAGGGCATTACGTGGCGTTTTATACCTCAAGGAGCACCTCACATGGGAGGGCTCTGGGAAGCGGGGGTAAAAAGCTTCCAGATGCATTTCAGGAAGGTAGCGAATAACGTGCGCTTTACCAATGAGGAGCTCTCCACGCTTCTGGCAAGAATCGAATCTTAACTTAATTCACGACCAATCAGCCCCATCTCTGAAGACGCGGAATCAATGGAACCTCTAACCCCAGGACACTTTTTAATTGGCACCCCGCTAAAGGCAATCGCTGAACCCGAAATTAAGGAGAACCCGATGTCTATTGTCAACCGGTGGCAAAAGATCAAAGCGATTCACCAGACATTCTGCAGAGAAGGTGGAAAGCAGAATATCTAAAGGAATTGCAGTAGAGAGTGAAATGGCACTCCCCCCAACGAAACCTCGAAGTTGACGATCTAGTCGTCGTAAAAGAGGATAACCTTATCCCAAATGAATAGCGACTTGGCAGAGTAATTAGGGTCTTTTCAGGTCAGGACAGCCGAGTACTAGTCGTAGAAATACGAACGGCACGCGGAATCATAACTCGACCAATTGTAAAATTGGTACTTTTGCCAGATTGACAAAGCAAAATAATAATCGTATCTCTCTTTACAGAACTCAGTAACGCAAAAGGGTACGTGCAACCAAAAGCAACACCCAAACTCACAAGGGCCAATACCGCTGCCCAGTGTGCCGCAGCAACCACCGCCTGGCTTTTTGTCGCGAGATGCGCAGGATGGAACCGGCCGAGAGACTGCGTGCCGTCCTCGTGCACCGCCACTGCGCCAACTGCCTGTCGCCGCATCACACGGCGAAGATTTGCGCATCTCCCCGAAAATGCGAACATTGCCGGGACCGGCTTTATAGCCTCCTCCACCTGGGCGAGGCGCCCCGAGATGAGGAAGACGTGCTACTGGGATTCGGCGAGCCAGAGATCCGTCAAAGACAACCGTTCCGTCCGTACACCATCCGGCCATTCGCCGAAACGAGCGACGAAGGCGAGGTGCTGGAAATCGACGCCAATGAAGAAGACCTCCAACCAGCATCGGATGATGATCCCGAGCTTAGCGCATTGCCGGCATTCAGACCTGCTCGTTTGGGTGTCCGGTCGGTAGTGCAGCGAGCCCCAGCAACGAGGTCGAAGCGCCGAGGCGCATACCGACGTCAACACCGACGCCACCGGCGACCCCAGAAACAACCTCACCGCAGTGGTGTGGGAGACTCCCGAGAGCGGATCACGGGAACGGCCCGTAGCGCTCCTAGGCTATCTGTCCTCACACCCACAGTAGCGGTTAAGGTGACCCGTGACATGACGCAAGTGGTGCGAGCTATCGTCGATCCACGGCAACCCAAGTCGACCATATCGCTACAGCTGGCGCGCCGACTCCAGCTGCTACCCCGGAGCGACTCGGATGTGTGCAGGCTCACGCTCAAAGGGTGGCATGAAAGGCTGGACATTTGCGCCGACATACAACCAGGCCTCTCTCGGGTAACCCCCGCTCGCACGCTGGACGCCAGGATCACCAACGAGTTCGACAATTTTCGGCTGGCCGACCCGGGCTTCTACAAATCTAGCGCCGTATCACTAGTCCTAGGAGCCTAAATATACGCGTCCTGGGACTCATGCCAGCCACCCCCACCCGACCAACGGCACAGAACACAATGTTCGGGTGGATGATCTCGGGAGGCACCATCTATTAGTGGACTACTAGAAGCAATTGGCCTGAAAATCAAAAATTAATTTCTAATTAATTTATGAATTGTAAATGTTAAAATGAATTGTAAATAGTAAAAAAAATTGTAAATAGTTACATGAATTGTTAATACTCTAGTTAATTTTATTGCAGCGACACTGCAATGCGGGCGGCATGTTTACGCTAACCCCCTTCACCGTAAGTATATTTATTGATTAGAGAATTTTACTTGTAGATGTCGCTGTGATCTAAGCGGGAACAGTTACTCGTTACTCGAGTTCCTTTTTCTCGAGTCCTGTTACTCGCCTCGGATGTTGGGTTTCGCCTTCTGCGATCACCCAACACTCTGCCACTTTGGAAGAGAACTCCGAGAAAACAAGTAAGGTTCTCTAACAACTCCTACATTGTATATATTTTTATTACAGCATTCTTTATATACACATATATATATATAAAAAAGTGGCCGCTAGGCACTCATATATATATACATATAAAAGTGAAAAGTGTGAAGTGTTTCATTTCATTTTTGAGCGAATTTTTTGCGGTTTAATTCAACCTCGAAGGACTTTAGGGATTCGGCACCTCCTCGACCCTCGTTTGCCGCGGGATTCAAGAGGAATTCCCGGTCCCCATTTCACCCCGTCCCGAACACTTATTGTGGAAAAGCAACAATAATTTGAAAACATGGTAAAAGTGATAGCTATTTCGGAAATCACCACATTTCCTCATCAGACTTCTTTCAGTAGGATTCGAACCGACGACCCCACTGACTCAGCCAGTTGCCTAAGCACTGTGCCAGGTTCGCCTTGTAAATTGTCGTTGCTTTTTTCCCACTTTTTCACTTTGTTAAGCCAACAGAATCAATCGCAGCTATTCCGCTGCAATTTACACTTGATCATGTGGTTGTTGGTTTTGTTGGTTTTTTTTAATAATTCTATTTTTAGAATGTTTAACTTTAAGGTATGCCCGTCCTTAAGTTATTTGTTTTTGCTATTTTATGGCCTTATAACAATTATATTCTACCATTTTTATTGAGCTTGAGGCCGTTTTTAATGAAAAACTTACTGTGGAAAAGCAACAATAATTTGAAAGAATGGAAGAAGTGATAGCTATTTCGGAAATCACCACATTTCCTCTTCAGACTTCTTTCAGTAGGATTCAAACCGACGATCCCACTGCCTACGCACTGTTCTAAGTTCGCCTTGTAAATTATAATTCGTTGATTGAGCACTATGAATTTTTGCAAAAGTTACTTTAAAGCGCTTTTTAGTATTTAAAGAAAGGCGAGATTTTTTGCACCAAATATTAAGATTATTAATATCAGCCTGGGGCATAGTAGCATCCCTTTCGTTTTTGATCATCGAAAATACTTTCAGGTCATCGGCATATAACAAAAAATTAGCGAAAAAAACATGATCTAATGTTATTTATGAACAATATAAAAAGTAAAGGACCTAAGATACTTCCATGGGGCATCCCAGAGGAGGCAATGAATACATCTGATGAAATGTCATCTATCTAGACAACACAAGTAGAATTTAATCCACTTCAAAAAAACAGAGTGGAAACCAAGATATGCTAACTTATTAAGCAAAATCGAATGAGAGAGTCTATCAAAAGAAATACAGCTAGGTTAGACATAGTAGATCTATTGGTAACAAAGCCATGTTGGTTCGGCAGGATTAAACTTTTATTAATTAATGAAATAAATTTTTTCCTATATACTATAGATTCAAAAAGCTTCGATACAGTTGATAGTTTAGAAATGGGCCTGTAATTGCGAACATTATTTTTACTCCCACTCTTAAATATAGGGTTAATAGAAGTAATTTTCCATTCCTCGATAAAGACGCCCGAAGCAAGAGACTAATTAAAAATACGATGAAGAGGAAGAATTGGAGCGGGACTGTTCTTGAAGACAAGGGCAGAAAACCCATCAACATCCGGTTTCGTAGACGGTTTCAGCGTAGAAATGCCAGCTTCCACGTCATCAAGTGACAGGGTTAGAGCCCCAAAACTGAAATCAGTAGCTGTATCGTGGTTTATATCAGGCCAGGAATTACCATCATCGCAAACATAGTTGGCACTAAAAAATTCAGCGAAGAGACTCGCCACCTCAGTAGGGCCACTAGCACATTTATCGTCTAAAAAGACAGTCGAAGGAATGCAAGAGCCACATTTCTTAGACTTTATGAAATACCAAAAAACGTTTGGATTAGTTTTAATGCGCAACTCCATCCCCAAAATATAGTTTTTATAAAGGAATTCGTCTAAGCAATTAAAATCTTGAGCATATTTTTGATATTTATCAAAGAAAATCTGACTTCCAGTAACTTTTAACTTCTTGAAGAATTTATTCCTAAGGTTCTTTAACTTTTTTAACTCCAGATTATACACTGGTTTAAAAGAATGATAGCAATTAGAAACACCCTGTACTGAAAGAAATTAATACCAATTGAGCAAGGAAAGCGAGTTATTTAGCTTGCCGAAATCACAAGACTTGTAATTACAGATAACTTGGTAAACAAGAGCAGATTTTAAAAATTTATACCATTCAAATTTCAGTATTAGTGGCAGATGATGCATGTCAGACTGAGACATAAGACAATAACATTCCTCAATATTGCCATTTATATTGTCACTTACAAAGATCAGATCTAGAATTATATCTAACCTGTTAACATACTTATTAATTTGCTTAACATTTAGACTTAAGACTATCGATGAGGTATGACTCATGCGGAGCAATTATATTGCTAGGGGTGAGCCCGAAGTTGGAAAGTGTCCGACCAACGTACATTGCATAAATTAAAGTCACGTAAAACACATAAGTGACTGTCGCCAAGTTTGTTCAAAACTAGAGAGCTGGCATTATTAGCATGCGCACGATAAAGGTCATCCTTACTATTTGGTGGAATGTAGGAAGCCATGATGAACAAGGAATCCTTGAACGTCGAGCCAGTAACACATAAACAGATCTGATTCAGAAGCGAATTATCATTCTTAAGCGCAACTAAATATAAATGCAGATTGCGACGAACTGCAATTAAGACACCTCCTCCTCTTAAACATCCAGTTTTCGCAGCGTCTCTATGCTTTCGGTAGACATTATAAAGGTTACCGTCGAAAAATTCATTATCATTAAAGACTGAAATCAACCACGTCTCAACATTAACAAAAACGTCATAGTCGAACTGAGAACTAAAATTGCGAGCTAAGTAATTCAGACTTAGTACGAATGCTGGAAGCATTTTGGAAGTACACCTTCAAATTGGAAGCACTACTAACTGTCTCATTAAATCTTGTGCTACTTGAGATCTGGTGCATCGTCTTTTTGAAAAAAGTGAAAGGGACGTATTTTAACATTTGCAGGTCATATCTTATATATTGTTTCTCTAAGGTATTTTTTTGTTAGTCTTCCTTTTTCTACTTTCCTATGTAAGAAATTCCACTAATGAGGTGTCATTTGAAAAGTCAGAGGTCCCCTGAGTGGTTATTAGGTAATATTAATGGTCATAATACCTCTGAAATAAAGAAATTTGTATTTGTCAATATTATTGTGGCTTATTAACATTTTATTTTTAATATTTTTTTTTTGAGCTTTGTACCACGATTGTTTATTAATAAAAATTGAAAAGGCAACAAATGCATTATTAAGGAAGAGCCTGCCTGAAACTATACAATAACGCAAATAAGCAAATGGATGTATAGAATTGTCAGCAACAACCACGCTGTCAAGTTTAAATAGCGGCAAATCAGCTGCACTTGATAGTAGTTGGTTGAATAAGGAAAATGAATTAGCAACAAGAGCTGCTATAACTTCTACCGCTCAGACTTTGTTGCTTTTTCAATTTTTCCTAATAAACAATCGTGGTTCAAAGCTCAATAAAAATACTAAAAAGTAAAGAAATTTGTAATTTTATTTTTGTCTTTATTTTACCATTGTTAAGCCACACTAAAGATATTTTGTACTGAAGCACTATTGTAACTGCAGCATCGCATACACCGACAGTGGTGGGCGCACACATAATTCAATAATTAAAGGTTCGATAAACTGACAGTTGTCTCTCTTGCACCGCTCCCTTAGCCGTGGCACCGTGTTGCTTCTTTGCAAATTAAAAAATTGTAGCTTATGTACGTGTGAAGAAGTATACGTTTTGTGCAATATGTTTA